AGCACAAAGGCCTCGGTGTTAGCAGCCAGTAATTCACTAAGAGCTCTTTGATTTTCTCTAGATCTGCCTGCAGATGATGGGAGAAATGTCATCTGTTAGTCACCTCAGCTGGACATCCATTTTCTGCACTGCTGTTGATGAAGTCCAGCTTCAGCCGCTTCTCAATGTAATCCAGGTCCGCCTCTGCCTTCAGAAACTGCAAAGACAAAGACATTGTGGCACTGAACGTCCTGCACCATGTTCAGATTCTTTGCTGTTTGACTCCACATGGTGGAATCACACTTACAGCTCAGTGCTTTATGCTCATTATGTTACACTACAGGAAGTGCAGCGCCCATGTTCCTGTTCCAGGACAGAGTGCACGAGGCAGCAGGACTTTGGCATATCCAGGTAACTTCAGGATTAAACCGGGGTCTTCTGTACCACTGGGTGGAAATCACCAAGAAACGTTCCAGATCAGAGATCAACAGGTATGAACTGACCACCTACTGACCAATGCAATCTCAGGACACAGAGACTGCAAAGGTCTGCACATGTGCAGAGGAGGGACAGTGGATAAAGATGGTCTATGGTCCAGCAGTCCCCAGACAACATCAGCCATCAGATCTCCTCACTGTAGGGGGTCAGAGGTTCAAGTTTCTGATTTGATGAGTGGTTCAGAGAGCAACGTCACTGCTGCTCCCTGACAGCTGTACAGCTGCAGCCACATCGGAGCGACTTAAGAAGGAAGTCGTCTGATTCGTTGTTTAGAGCACAAATGTGTAGATTACTCCAGCTTGAGCAGGAGTAAGGATCGATGCGTGCTTACACACACACGCATTATTATTTTAAATATTGTTCTTGTATTACAAGTTAATATTTGTATTTAGACTTATTTTCAATGGCTGCATTTACATTTGGATTACAGATAATTATCTGATATCGACTTTATTCCAGCTGTGAGGTAAATAAAGTGCATCTTTTCTTTAATGCATTTATTGAAGGTTGTAAACACAGAGGTGGTCCTTGCAGTTTTCAGATGCTTTGACAATACTATTGCACTACTAGTTGTCTGATACAGTAGTGCAATGAAGTCAGAGCATCTGCCAACAGCTCGAGGTTCACACACGGTAAACTTTGCACTAGTCCCAGGATTGCACAACCTGCAGATGGTCAGCAGCACAGACAGAGTTCCGCTACAGGCTGCACATCCTCCCATTTCCCTTCTGCAATAAGAGTTACGGGGAAGTAAGCACGCTTGGCTTTGGCACCGTGAGACTTGATGCACTGAGCCATGTGCAGGAGACAGCTGGTGTTTGAGACGGTCTCGAAAAACAAACAATCTGTGAATAAAAGTCCTAAAACAACAGAGCGACGCTGCACTCGGTCCCGCTGCGGACTGCGTGCTCCGAGTTGCTCTGTGACGTTCGAGTGGCGGCGATGTTGAAACTAGCCGAGCTCCTTCGCGGTCCTGCGGTATTTGATGGGCCTGACTTTCGATTGTTTCTTAGCAGAGAGCCGTGAGTCGCCTGCTGTGAGCGGCACACCGTGTACAAAGCTACGATCAATAGCGGTTCAACAGCGAAAAGATACAGTCGGGAAAAGGAGTTTGACGCTGTGCTTACCATCGCCTCAAGCTTTTCAACTGTTGTCTCCATGTTGAACAGTTTTCAGCCTGAACGTGGGCGCTGTGATTGGCCAGCTGTCAGGAAGGAAGAAAGCTGATTGGACGTGTGTCCGAGCCGAGAGCTGTGCGCCATATTACTCCCAGTCTGTTTCTGTGTTTGGCGCCCCCCTCTGGCTTGGAGTGAGATGAGTCCTGCTGAAACGTTTTAGGATCTTCCTGATAGTGATGGGATTTCCGGCTCTTTTTAGAGAACCGGCTCTTTCGGCTCGACTCAATAAAAAGATTCGACAGTTTCGGCTCCTAACTGACTCTTTAGGTTGTTTTGTTGCTTTAGTTAATTTATTATTAACAACAATATAAAATTATGCACAAAAGGAATTACTAATGTAAAAAAAGTGGTTTTATTTATATATGTTTATATATAAATATATATGGTAGCCCCTAGAGACAAAGCACGTACAAACTCCAAAAAGCCTGTATAAACTCCAAAACACATTTCTAGCGTTAACTGAACTTCCAAA